ATGATTTATGAAGGAGACACGCAGTGTGTGAGGTGAGGTAGGCGATAATGGCAGAAGATTAATGGAAGAAATAGAAAAAATTTGGGGTACGCTATCTCTGTTATTATACATTTGCGAAAGGTAATGTAAAAAGAAAATTATCTTATAACTAGGTCTTATTTGAATATGATAATAGATTAGGGGTACGAATGTGGGGTGCGAAAATGCAATAACACATCATATTTAAGACCCTGGTTAATTTAGGACCCAATTCAATTTACACCATTATTTTCTTCGTATTTATGACGAAAATGTTATAAAAAATAAAGTAAAATTAAAAATTTTCACCTAAATAATAACTAAATCCCCATATGTATTATACACACACACACGCACCAAAAAAAAAAAAAAAAAAACCCGCAGCTTGGCAGGCCATTTGTTTTCACGAATCTGTACAAGAAAAGGAGAAAAACTTCCTCGGGTTTCTTACGCCATTTTTTGCGTCCCTATTCAACATGAGCAAGTGAAGGTAGTGCTGGTTCAAAACCTAAAAGAAAGTGTATAAGCTTAGCCGAGAAACTAAGTGTTAAAACGATATGAAAAAGGCGAGAGGTCTGTTGATATATTACATGGAGCAAGCAATGAACATATTTTCTGAAGTAGATCCATTAACAGAATGAAGCATTAAAATTAACAGGGACGTGAAAAACGCCTATGACCTTTACATAAAGATGTACTGTATAATGCGAAAAGAAAGTGGCTGTGAAAGGTTCTTTCGACAGCTTTATTATTCGAAGGCCTAAACCATCAACTTCAGCAGCTTCAGCAGAAACTTCAGGTTCAGTAACAGTTTCAGCAACAGCTATGACATCTTTATGGAAAGCTTCAGCTTCAACCAGAGTTGAACTTGATGACTTCGTCATCTGAGTAAAAACTTGCACAACATTCATTGGCTGTCCTTGTTCAAGGGTAAATTTTTACTTTAGGACATGAGTCCCTAGGGGTTAAACAAAAATCTTTTTACAGTGTATTTTGGTGTGTTTTAAACGAATCTGACCTTTATTTTTGGTGGAAATTGCTCATTTTTGCACCCCCCCCCCCCAAAAAAAATACATATATATACTTGTATATAAAAAAAATAATGAGGGGGAACCTGGGAAAACGTTTTTTTTTTTTTTGGTTGGGGGAGAAAACGAGTCATCTAACCTAAAAGCCTGAACTAACTTAAATGTTTCAGTAGTTTAAAACATTGGGGCGCGTCATGTCCGAAAGTACAATTCCTTAGTTAGAAGTGGAAGGACCAGGGATACTTAAGAATGGGATAGAATTATCGTCTTTCTCGTAAATCTCAGCAATAAACTTAAAATAATCGTAGGAGCACAAATGACAAACAATCACCAATACGGCCATTGAAAAACTAGTCAATGAAATTGAAATCGTACCCAGGCTGCTTCCTTTGAAAAAATCAAATGTGATTGGTCGAAAAAAAATCGCGTGATGATATCGATACATCATTGGTCACGACTGGAGGACGTCAGTCAATATTGTGCATGCGTGATGCGCCGATAACATCTCTTCACAGATGGACTGAAATTACGTAAAATCCTTTAAATTCAATTGTCACTATAATCCATTTCTGCCTGGTATATATGGGGTTCAAAATGCTCAGAATTGGGAGATCTAAATATTTCTTCAGTAGTTCACAACTTTCGGGTGTGCTATGCCCTAAAGTAAAATAATACGTTTTAGACTTTACCACCTTTGAAGAGTATAATTTTTTTTTTACATTAGTAAATATGATTTAAAACATATATGAACAGTAATAAGTGTTGCTTTCATGTTCTTATGTAGAGAAATGATGATGCTTTCACATGTACACACTTACATAAGATGGCATTCCCAATCCATTTCGTTTCTTTCTTTACCATTAATGGTTAGCTACTTCTACTGTTCCATCTATTAACATTAAATAACATTACTTAAAACCTACATATTCATTTTTTGCATTAACTTTACTACAGCTACAACCAGGGTCTTATTTTCTTCAGTTTCTTATGTAGGACCATCGACACGGACTATCACGAAAACAATGCCATCTCCTCTCTTCTTGTGTTTTAATATTATACATATTATTAATGAATTGCATTGTTCATTTCGCATATATAAACATTAATTCAATCAAATACATATTCAGTAATAAACAACAATGAATCTTTTGGAACCTACTCTTACGAAGATAAATGACGCAGTTTCCTTGAGGGCGCAAGTATACATTGCCTTTCCAACATCACTCTTTTTTTTCTTTAACATCAGTGGTTACCTTGACTGTACATGAAGTGACATTAATTAAAACATACCCGTTACATATTTTTTTTACATTAATTTTACAACAACCAGGGTCTTATTTTCTTTAGTTTATGTACAACCATCTTCATTCGTCACGGGTGTTTTAAACATTAACGAAAACAATGCCGTCTCCTCTCTCTGTGTTTTTTAATATTCTTCATATTATTAATGAATTACATTGTTCATTTCATATATGTATACAGTGGTCCCTCGGTTAAAGAACACAATTCGTTCCAGAAGGTTGTTCGTTAACCGAAACCATTGTTTCAATGGGATTTTGGGTAATTGGTTCCAGCTCACCAAAAATTTCATACAAAGTAAAAATAAATGCAGTAAAGTACACTTACCTTGAGGTGTGTATGTAGAAGGCTCCTGGTTGATGATGATGATGGGAATTAGAAGTGGGGGTGGAGGAGAAGGGAAAAGAGAAATCACCCCATGCTTCATGCCGTCATTTCACCCATAAAATTTTAAGTTCACTAGGTGTAATTCAAGATTATTTTCTTTAAATCAACACTGCACCGCACTATATATTGTCAATATGTAAAATAAATTTCAGAATGACCAATAATTGTACTGTAAAAACATAAAAATAGTTCTCAAGAGAGCCACAAGCAAGATGATACCTCCACTGACCAGAGATACAAACTGATGCCTTGGTGGGTGAGTAAAGTGGCTGATTGGCGCACCAAAAACTAGTTCCCTGTACTGCAATTATGTTAAATAAGTGTTAAAATGACTAAAAATTTTCATATAAAACTTGGAACATTATGGAATAGTACAACCTTCTTGATATTTACTCAAATGGGAACGAATTTAAGCCCTAGAACCTAATACTGTACTGGCGGACTAATATTCCAGCTGGCGTGCAAGCGAAAACATGTTGACATGATTTTGTAAGAATTTTGTTTACCGAATTGAAGATTCTTATGGAAGGTATTTCTTTAACCGAGGCGTTCGTTACCGAGGGATCACTGTACATTAATTCAATCAAATACATATTCAGTAATAAGCAAAAATGAATCTTTTGAACATATTCTTAATAAGATAAATGACGCGGTTTCTTTGAGGGCGCAAGTATACATTGCCGTTCCACCATCATTCTCTTATTTGTCTTTAACATTAGTGGTTACTTTTACTGTACATTAAATAACATTAATTAAAACTTTTTTTTTTCGTTAATTTTACTACAGGGTCATATTTTCTTCAGTTTCAGATGAATAAATGACATTATGGGTGTAAACGCATCTCATTATTGCTTTATTTTAACGGTAACTAATGTTTCACGATACGATGATTCACCTTCCAGTGCAATATTGGAGGTCACATTACCCTTGTTATTCTAGGCTTTACAGTATTAAGAGCAAAAACATTTAAACATGCACTAACTCTGTAGTAGCTTAACAAAGACTGGAGACGCTTGAGGACACCGTGATGCTCTGCGGGTGTGAGCGTAGTGTGCCAAGATGAGAAAGGGTGATGCGCCTTACAAAGTAGTCCGTGATGACGCTATATTGAATTGGCAGGACGTTATCCGAATGCTGGGTATCTAAAGAATAACAACGTTATAATGAAACAATGTTATAGGGGGCAACGTTAAACGAGGACTTACCGTACTCATGCTATGTTTTAGATTTAAATAATTGCTGATTTTGGTAATTTAGGTTTATGCATATAATAGTTGTAAATACGGTTGAAGACACAGGGAAACATCGAGCCTGTCTAATTCAGACCAACTTACCCAATTGGGCTTAATTTTTTGCATTGTCCAAATTTGGAATCTTTTGGTAATTCAACAAGTATAGAGCCCAAAAGTTTTCAAATTAGAGGGATTTGAGTTTGTATAAAGTATTTTTTCATAGAATTTTAATGAATTAAGATCATGGTCATATGTTAAAAAATTAATTTTAATACTCCATTTTTAGGTGGAGAACTGACATCTATAAGTATAAACCTTGAAATCTATGACTATTGGTTAAGAATCTGGGTTAAAAGTCAATTTCAGCAGTTGTCACAATGACTTGCAATTATTTAATTTGTTTTATAATCCTAATTACTTGTACTTGTCACCTGCAGTTTTTTTAATAGTGTTGGTTGGTGTTTTTTCCTGTTATTCTGAATGTGCTGAAGTACTTAACTCATTAAATTCCTATTTAAAAAAACATTAAACTCAGAACGATAGCAATGTAATAATGGTAGAGCACTGAGCATTTCCCTAACTAACCTTGAAAAATTAGTAACAAACAAACCAAACATACAAGTACATTAATGAATTTTTGAGAGGCAAGTAGTTTTGGTGGGAAGAATTGATGTACAGTTGTGGAAACGTTTCTACACCCCATGCGGTAACCCATGTCTCCAAACGGAAACATTGCAGTAGTACTGTAGTGTATCACTATTTATGAATGAATAGGTATTGGTTGTGTAATGATCGACAAGATTGGTGGATAGGTTTGCTATACCGGAGGTCATATAGGTTTGCCATTTGGAGACATGGGTTACCACACTGGGTGTAGGAAAACATTTCTGCAACTGTACCATGGCTGGTGCTGGTAAAACTCCTAACGGATATCTGCATATAACACATTTGCCCCTTCACTTCCTTAATTCTCATGGGAGTAATAAAAATTAAAATACAAAAAAAATATAGTATACGTACAGAAGAAACAAAAACAAAGAATTGTCATCATTTATTTTAGGCAATACCTGTACAAGAATAAAGATATGAATATTACTTCAAAGGTTGTGCTGATTGTTTGTGTATTAAAAATTTAAATGCGATGTCAAAAATATGAAAATATAATGCCTTCGTTGATGAAATATATGATCATTAAATCTTCTTTTGGCCAAAGAAATGGGATGGGAAAGTGTAATTCCCACAATAATGTAGCAAATATATCCAATCATTAACTTTTAAAACTTTAATGTATAAAGTATATACTGTATTACAAGTATAACCTTGATTGTCTCTAAAATATGGTGAGCACTACTTAGACCTAAACCTAAAGTATGTCACATATTATATGTTGATATACTACCGTATTTTTGTGTTACAAGATGTATTCATGAACATAAGCTTCACTGAAACTTTACATTCACATATTACTAATAAATTTTGAGATTGTATGTTATAACACAGTACTGGTAACACTATAAAAAAAACCAATAACTGCATATGTAACTGTTGGAAAGAATGACCTGGGAGAAAAATGCCCAATACTCGAGACAAGAATATCAAATGCTGAAAATAATTGCTAACTAATAATGTCAACTGGCAACCAACATCACCATAAAATATTTGGCAAATATCCAGTCACTACCAACTACATGAACTACCTACTGTATCATTATCTATACATGTACATAACTGAGTATCAATGGCATCTAGATTCTGGCAATTGAAATTCATGGATGTGTGCCCCCCACCCCCTCCCCAAATTCATATTCCTGCATGTTAATTTATCAAGTTTTAATAGTTCCTCACAAAGAAAGGTGATCCCATTATGATACTTTAGTTAATACTGATCCAATACAATGCTGCATGTCCATTCAATGTTATAACTACCCAATATCTGGCTAGTTATTTTACAGTAGATATGCTTTTCTTGTAATTTTGTTTTAACATTTACAATAACAGTACTGTATTTTTTCCCAATAACATATCCACCCTTAAAATTTCTAAAGTTGGAGGAAAGTAAACTGAAAATTTATTGAGCTTTAATCTATACCTTTGAAGTTATGTTCCCTTGAAGACTTACGGACTGGCTGGCCATGTGCAGTGTCTTCCTCACACGTGTCCAAAAATATCCCCTGCACTTTGAAAAACATGGCTGCAATATATATATATATATATATATATATATATATATATATATATATATATATATATATATATATATATATATATATATATATATATATATATATATATATATATATATATATATATATATATATATATATATATATATATATATATATATAGCATGCATGAACCAACATTTTGAGTAGAAATGAAATACATGAACAAATGTGGAACAATATTAGTTATTGCATTATCATTACTTAGACCTGATGATCTCCACAAGTTTAGTTGTACATATAGGTGATACAAATGTACACTGTGCATTCCTTAAAGCATAACTGTAATGTAATTTAAAATGTAAAACAAATCTTAAACCATTAAGTTCTGATGTATTTTCAATCCAGGATTTTCTTAAAAGATTTTTACATATTGACAATCTTATAAAAATTTAATTATCTTGCATTACTGACAATGTGAAATATAATACTTTAACATACTTTTTCAAAATGAAGTGCATTAATAGTTCAATATTACAGTATGTAAAAAATATTCTATTCTCATTCAAATGGACAAAAATAAATCTAGTATTAAATCTATGTTTTCAGGTTAATGATTATTTACATTCTATGAAAACTTAGCCCTACTACAGATGATTACAAAAATCACACTATACCAGTAGTCTGAAGATAAAATACAATATAGTGATGCCAACTGTACCTGTAACATCTGTTTATGTACATGATATGATGTGTAATCTTTCCAATATCCACCAAGACTTCTAAAGCACTGGAACAATATTAAGTCGCTTGTAGTTCAGTTTTATATCTGTGTATGGACTGCAACAAAATGAATAACTATTTATGGCTGATTCAAATCATGAGTAGTTGCCATAGCCAGAATCTGGCACTCCACTCTACCTACCATCATCTTACACACCACAGCACATTACTCTGTTATACACACACATCCCTTGTGCTGAAACATTATAAAGCAATTAAGGAAAGATTACAAAGAAAAAATATTTAAAAATAGTAAAGATAACTCATTTCCACACCCATAGATTGCCTCCACTCACAGCAGTGGAAGTGTGGCCTACACAGTAGAATGAAAGAGAAACACACTGAAGAAAGATTTGCATAAGGACAGAGGAATGCCACAGATTAGACCAGACTAGCATCAAGGTGAAAGCACCAGAGATATTGGCCACAAGGGTCTACCCTTCAAATATGCTCATAAAATAACAATAAAATGCTAAGACTAAGAGTGTAAACTTTTGCAAACAGTATGCCCTAACAAGTTAAAAAAAATTAATATTCATGATTCAGTTAGTATACTTTATGTGAATGTAGATTTTAATTTATAAATCTCCATTTTAATCATCTTTCATAATTTACAAAAACATCCCTGGTGGCAGTGACAAGTGCATTAGTCTTGGTCTAGGTTGGGGTAAGGAGATGATGACAGGGGGGGTTAGGTTCCAAACATACCACTGACAAATCAAACTTAGGTATTGCACAAACACCCACTGGTTCACATCCACACAAGCAAATCAAAATATGGATATATTTTTATGGCCCCTAATACCTCCTGCTGTCAAATAAGCTCTACTTCATGAATATGCAGAATAAAATCACAAGTGAATAAGAATATTAAGAAATACCAAAATAGACTCCATATAATATGGATTAAATATATCTCTACAAGCATAAAGGATACACTCTGCTGTATCCATGCAAATCAATAGTAAGGAAAACTAATGTAACAGAAAATTTTCAAACTTTGGCACTTTATGGCCAGCATTATGGGCACTACTTATCCTGTAACAACTATCTTGAAGACTCGTCCCATACAGGAAGAAACTTTTCTGTTACATCCAGTCTGCTTAACAATGTCAATAAGAGCTTTGCCTTAATACAAAAGAAACTTTTGTGTCACTCGGATAAACTAAAACAAGGCGCAAACTTGCCTTTGTAATTACATTTGTGACAAGAACTGAAGATGGGGCTTGAAAAGGTGATACTGATGCTTGTATTTATTGGTCAGTAAGAAGTCTCAAAGTATTATCTATGACTGTTAGCTACATGTCACATATTGGCAGACATAAGGTAATATCCTAGCTACACTTATGGACGTATCAAACAAATTTGTAAAATAAACAAAAACAAAAACAAAAAATAAACTTTCCAACATGCCTTGTACAAAATCACTTTAGAAAAAATCAATCAATATTGTCACTTTCTACAAAGTTGAATATTTGACTGGTGTATGTGCACACGACACCAACAATAATCACTGGCCCAAAGTAACACATGGCACACTAAGTTCACACAATTACTGCATTCAATTATCATATACATATACTGGGCGCTGCACATACCACTTGCATGGTGAGACCGAAAGTCCAACTGTACAGCATCAAACATTTTCCACATACAGTCACATCCATTCTTGTTTTAGTTTAAGTTTCTGCATGTTTGAAAATCACTGGCTACAGTGTCCTGCCAGCAAATAATACTTTGGTGCAAACACTTAACCATCTAGGAATGTGGAAGGTGGGTCAGAGAACCCTATCTCACGTGATCCCAATCAACGTGTCAACTTGGGTCACAATCAACCCACCCACTGAATGCACAGAATCTTGTCCTAGAACAATCCACAATCCTTGAGGTTATTCTTGATGATCACATCTGTTACAGCATCAAACACAAACTGAAATGAGAGAAAAGAAGTCAATTGGGATCCATTAAAATTTTTACTATTACAGATGTGTAATCAGAGGACTGAAATATGATACATTGTATTCCATTTTATGGGTGAGGGCTGAATTAAGTGATCTGTGCAGTTCCAGGACATAGGGCACCCAATGGTAGGAATTACTAGATATACAACATTTGATAATTATCTTTAAGTAGTACAGTAAAAATCCCAAGTACCAGAGTAAATAAGCCACAGCAACATAGTTACTCAGATTGAATCCATCATTCGGATGTCCATATTAGCAGGGAGGCACAACCATTCAAAACAACAGCCAACATATTACATTAACACAGATTGGTTTATTTAAGCTAATAATATATAAGTTCAAGTAAAATTATCATATTTATGATATACTTTCAGTAAAATCAGTTTTATTATATTTAAAGTGTTAATAGATGTAGCTTAGGAATATTAGCCTCTGCCAAATTAATATATATTCAGTATATACATTCTATCACCCAGACTATTGAGCATACAGCTACATAAGCATTTGTTCTGTCACACCACCTAGGGTGGATAGCCCATAAACATTTGTTCATTCACACCTCGGGTGTACAGCCCATAAATCTACAGACTCAACCCTCCGTGTGTGAGTTGGCTTGTTTAGATGTCCATGTTGAAAGATGGGTTACTCTCCAACCACCAGACTCGAGAAGACAGCCAGTTCCCGCAGTTCACAGCCAGACACGATACTCAAAAGTCGTGTTGTGAGACCAGCTCTCCAGGCTGTACCTCTCTCAAATTATATCAGCTAATTACAAGCTAATAGCTAATGCTCATTAGTCTGTCAATACCAAATAATTGTACAGACATGACTACCCAATATAACTAGAAAATCACCACGTGTGTTTACATTAAACCAAGGAACAACGAGTGAAGAGAACAGTACCTTTGTGTCTTGTTTAACTTACAAACTAAGATAATTACAAGTACAACCCAGGACAGCTGTGACGATTTCAACTATCAACCAATCTACGACTGTATCAAAGGTGACACGTCGTGAGATTACCCGATATCTCACTCAGCTGCATCAAAGGTACCAGCGACTAACCTACACTCGTTCAGGCAAGTGTTAACAAGTGAGATAGTTTGATATCATACCACAGCTAAAACATAGGTTCTAGATTCTAAAAGCTTTCAGAGCCACAGAGAAAGTTTTTACCTGATCTTATTTTTTTACTTTCATTTACTGTATTTTGTCATTCTATTTCTTTTGTCTTAATTTAAGTGATTTTAGATGTATTTAATGACTTAAGCAATGATATAGTGGGATTTTAAACATTGTTCTGTAAGTACGGTATGCTCATAGGGTATGTGGTTCGACTGAATTACAATTTCGACTGAAGAGCATCCATAGGAATGGAACTCTTTCGTAACCCGGGGACCCCCTCTATGTAGCATGGATGGCCTTTTGCAGTGTGAGATAAAGTGAATGTGTACAGTATACCTCTACCAATGAAGTGGATATGTTCACAAAATACACTTCATTCTCAGAAACTTCATTGTCATAAGTAGATTTAACAATGAATAAAAGGGAACAGGTTCCAATCCTTCGCTATTTTGTAATTTACATGCAAAAATTGGTATAATAAGCAAATAAAAATAATACACAGCACATCATAAAATACAATAGCACATATTTTATGTACAGAAAATAGCTCCTTCTACCCTTGTGCAAGGTTATGGGTGACCCTGAGTGGAAGAGTTCAGCCAGCCAGCTGACTTGGGAGACATATGGTTGCTATGCCATGACGTGACACTGGGGAGTGTTACACATCCATACATACAATCACCTCCCATAAAGAATCCTGTTTGCAATCATGCTCTTAATTTTTCTTTCTTCTTAATAGTTTTTGATATATTTCCTTTATTTCGAAGTCACAATACAGTACTGAAATAATTTTCCAGTCTCATTCCATGAATCAGTGGCAACATACGTGGCCATTTCAAGTCCACAGCTGAGCTGGCGACATGTATGTATGGAACCTACTTTCAGTGAAGAAGTTCCGAATTAATGCATTATCTCGGGAACAGAGCATTTTTTGTCAACCATGGCTTACACTTCATGTTTATCTTTCAAAGTAAGGCGTTTTTTGCTTTTAAGTCTTACCTTAACGTGCTTGCTTGGGTAATGTTCTCACAATGTGTATTATTTATGACACGAGATAACAAGCACATCTGCACTAAAGAATAGCCACACGTAGACCGAGTGCAGCGCAGCTTTGTTGTTGTGATGTGGGCGAGACCACATAGTCCATGCCACGTCACTCCAAAAACAATAACAATGACCCGCAGGATATGTAAGATAGTTTTTCAAATTTAAAAGTAATATTTTCCAAGGTTCCAAGAATTGTGGCACTCGGGGTTTTTACTGTAAATGCATTAATCACATTAATAATGCATACAGCTGCAAGACAGCTCTTCACCCAGATACACCGGTTAATACTGATATCATTCCAAAACATCATCTGACCTGAATATTGTTGGTGTCGGTAGCACATGTGAAGTGAGTGTATATTTCTTTCTGGTCCTTCCGCTTGTTAAGGTTCTCAAACTTCATACGAATGTAGTTGGCTGAATCTTCATATACATTGCTGCCTGAAAGGTGATTAAAATTTGCTAGATAAAATAAAGAGGAAAATTTTTGTCAGCCTTCATTACCAGTGCAGTATCTATCAAATCATTAATGATTTTCCTGGAAAGAATGGACAAAGGTTGGAAGACAACTTGAAGCTCCTGAATATACTATTTAAGAAAAATCTAGAACAATGATTCTGCAGTTTTTAAATAAATAAATATATAAATTCAATACAAAATGCAATAATTTAAACAATTAATATTTCAAGCACATTTTTCAGATACAATTTTTAGCCTTTGGAAATTTCATGGGCTAACTTTTTGTTAAAAAAATAATTTGTCAAAAATTTTATTTTATTCCAGCCAATAAGTCCTTTCACATGACTGGTCTGGGCATCCATAGCTTCAATTCCCAAAAATCTCAGAAAAATTCATCATATACCCACTGTACTAGTATAACCACAAAATAACACAATATTAATCAACAGTATCACAATGAAACATAAAATCTTACATGCTACTTTTGCAATGAGCATATAAACACGGAGGATTCTTTACAAAGGAAGTAGCAGTATTTACGCCTTGTAAGCAAACTGCGGGATGTTTTCCTCATTTTCTGTGAAGCAATCAACTAAAACTTTCATGTGTTTCTAATTTCACATACCTTGATATTCTGGGAAACAGATAGTCAACGGTGACTTTGTGATCTTTTCTTCAAACAAATCTTTCTTGTTCAGGAAGAGAATTATTGAGGTCTCTACAAACCATTTGTTGTTGCAGATAGAGTCGAAGAGTTTCATACTCTCAATCATTCTGTTCATCTCTTCATCCTCTGCTAATACTAAGTCATAGCCTGCAAAATTCAGAAACTATATTAAAACTATGCCAATCCAACCAACTTGCAAAAACCATAGTAAATATGCAGTACAGTGTTCAAATTCCATTGTGCTATTATCTTTACAGGCCCATATTAAATATCACTGATAAGTACTAATTATCAATATGATGAAAATACTCAGCAAAAATAAAATACCACTGCCATCATCAAGAATGTCAGCTAATCCTTCCAGTAGTGGCTTAGGGGCTAATTGCAAAAGGCATAAGGTAACACAAACAGATTAAAACAACAACAGGAGCATTCATGAATGCAGAATTCAAAAGAAGGAAAAGAAATAATGTTCAAAAACAGAAAAAGAACTAAAGAAACTTCAAATACTAAAATGAAACTATAATGCAAAAGACCCAAACAGCAACAAAATAATAAAACTAAATGAATACTGTACATGCATGCAACGTATAACAAAAATAACCTTACCTGACAGAGCCACGACAAAGATAATGGCGGTTACTCCCTCAAAACAGTGGATCCACTTTTTCCTCTCTGATCTTTGACCGCCTACATCAAACAATCTGCAATAATAAAATTTACAGTTATGAGGAGAAAGCAGATTAAATGGGGTTAGAAAACAATAACAGTTCCAAGTCACATCCTAAGAGATTAACACAATATTCACCTCTTTTAATCAAATAAACCAGTGAAGGACATATTCAGGCATGAGATTGGAATATTTTTTGCTGGTCCTAATAATAAGTCAGGGGTTTGGGGATTGCCCAGATTACCAAAACATGACCAGACCCCTCCCTGAATTTTCTCACTAAAGCTGAGCTGATTTCATAAACGAACTTGGGCAAGTTAGAAGCCAGAAACTGAAATAATAATAATAATAAAAAAACATTTATATAGCAGTAGTAGGCCACCAATACAGTACAGTACTTGGAAGACTATCAGAATCCTGTATCTTAAGAAGTATTTATGACTGGCTGGGGATCTGGTAAGTTTATGGTCAATCTTGAAAGCTCTATGCTAATTAAAGCAGGAGTAGAGCATGCCCTGACAATTTGTGGTCCTCGATTATTCGCGGCTATTTTGAGACTTAAACTCCCGCAAATTTTAAGGGCATGCTGTATGTCTTCATAACAGTAGCTGCTACTACCTTCAAATTTCATCTTGGAATGTACTTCGCATTACAGGTATTGAAACAAGGAAAAAGGTCCAAAAAATAATATGAAAATAATCTTTTTAAATAATAATATAATAAATGCCATAATACACCTCACATTTGGGAACACAAAGGAGAAAGCTAGAAGTGTCAGAAATTTCTCCCGCTACCCTCGACAGCAGCATTGATAAACCGTGAACCACTACAGTATTGTGCCGAGATCTTTCCCAAATACCCTGTATTCTATTCCTCAGTTCATGAGGTTATGTCAGGAAATCCTCCTCTTCCAGTAATTTATATTTCAGAGAAACGATACACAAACACTTGGTCACTGACTCACAAGTAAAGGAAGGTTGAGCCACATGGGCTGGATAGAAATACACACTATTTAGTGGACACTAAGAATAACTAATAGGTTCCAGAACAATTTCTCCATCCACAGTAACATAATGATATAAATATATATGAATATTTAAATAATTAAGGTACTGTACTAACTTCCTGGACAATATCTCTAAGGTGGGTTAATTGTCATTAAACAACACAGAATATTTATTTCAACCCATATGTAGTAAAGTGTAACATAAACCCCCTCCCAAATTAAGCATTGAAACTTATTATTAGGTAAATACGGTAAAGAGGTATGTAATTATTCCTGTTAAAAACCCAAATAAGGTAAAGAGGTAGGTAATAAATACTAATGAAGGTCAACTCGTATACAGTACTTACATACTTAAAGTACTACAGTACAGTATACCACTTTAACACAAGAATTTTAGGTGGCCATTAAAAATTTATTTTTCATATTATACTAGAAGTCTAGACTACTAGCAAAATAATACCTGTATACAGTACAGTATCTATAAATGTACTCAAATAATAACTACTGTAATATACAATATAAGTTTAACAAACTTGAACCAATGTTTTCCGATACATTACTGTTTGAAATGACTGGTGCATGAGCATGGTGGTCCAGCACTGCATATCATCCATGGTTAAAACAAGGAAATAAAGCTAAAACAGAGTATTCATCGAAAATGTTAAATAAAAACTGATCATGCATACATGATACAAAGCTAAACATGTATCTAAACAATTAATGGTAATATTATCATACTTCACATCTACTTCTGCATTCACAATTGTTGATAAATCTCCTAAGATTTATATTGTATAATCTATTCTGTTGCCATTTTCAAGGATTAAGAAAATTTCTAGTTAGAGCACAAATACTATTGTTATTATCTTACAATACAAAAAAAATATTCATACAAAACATTTGATAAGGAATAGAGGAAGTAAGGATGAGTTCAAAGAAAATTGGTACCGTGTATAAAGTACAGGTATATAAAACTGACAGTTTCTGCCTAAATTGAGCTGCCAACTTTTTTATTTTGCTGTAGGAAAATTATTAAAAAATGCACTTACTTGAAGTTAAGATTTTTGAAAGAGAAGTTTGTCTCAACAATCCCAGTTGTTTTAACTCTAGTGCGAAGGACATCTTGTTGTGTGGGTATGTAACCTGGCCGTGCAATGCGGTCCAATGCATTCAGGTAATATGCGGCAGAGTCATTCAGTTGGTACTCCCTCGACCGACTGCATGGGCCATAAAGAATTTTTTTACATATAGCACTTAGTGGTACTGTAGGTATACAGCTATTAATAAAAGTATGTTATCACATTAAGCAGTTACTCATAAACAAATCTATCATTAAGTCATTAACCTAATTCATATCATTATACCTGTACTATACAGTACTGTATCTATTATTATGACAATGGGGAAAAGGCTGTTTTACACAGCAGTACTTTTCCCCCATCAAGGTACACCAACTGGTAATTTTTCATTTAATTCAAAATCATATTACTGTATTCTTTAAACATGTGTCTAGCTTCAAGAAAAAAATCTTCACTGGTTTCAGTGCAATATACAGAACCACAATACTGTACAGTATTAAGGACAGTGAGACAGATGAAAATTGAGCAATTCTATAGTCCCCCTTCTGGTTTCACTTATAACTAATCAATGTAAAAAGTAATAACCTACAGTATTGTACTGTATATGAATCATAACATACCCATGACAGGACTGAAACTTAGTGCAGTGGTCCCCCACAAATGTGTGATTCTCTCATAGCTTAAAGACATGAAATTTTACCCATTCTTTGACAAGTTATGGTGGTCTCATAAGTATGTTCACTCAAACACCAAGCTATTTTTTTATGTGAATGCGCCCATATAGACATTGTTTATTTCTTCATATGCCCAGCTCCCAAACTGTCTGTCACGAGTGCCTGCTGTAGATACCCTGTACCTATTAACCCATTAGTGAATCCCAAGAATAATAAAGCCTGTAGTGTAAATTAATTAGTTTAAAATTATGGGATCTTTTATTAAATGTGGAAACACAAACTGCTTGAAGAGCATATATTTTTATGTAAAATCTATACTTCTTTTCTTTTTGTGCATGCACGCATCACATTATCAACTACATAAGCTTAACCTCTTATTTTCCTTAAGAAGTTAACTTCACTTATGTGTGATATGTACTCACAAATTTAAGACATTTTCACACACAACCTTAAAGATTTGCTGGGACCACTGTACTGAGTTTGAAGTCCAAGCAGGGAATCCTTTGGGTGAAATATTAATAGTCAAAGAATGTATCAACCACATTTGTGTAAACTACATCACTTGCAGCATCAGTATTGCTGGATGTTACAAATTAATTCACATGAGTGAAGTGGGAGTTCATTTGTAAAAATAAGAATACCGAAGATCAGTCCATATTTTCAGATAGAATGTGAAGATATGCAGAACCTACTGACAAAAACCATATGAAATCCCCAGACTTTACAGTAAAATACAGAGGTTCTAGTCCTATGGAATTTTAAAGACATTTTGTAACCTTAATAGCTCTGACTCACTTAAAACAATGCTGGACACCACTCTCATTCCACAGGCGTTTCATAATGTTTGCTAATTCAGGCGTCAATTCACCCTCGTCTGCTGCACTTGCCAATGTGAAGAAGTGTCGAGCATCATCCTACAAATCAAAAAGCTTGTCAATGAAAGTAAAAAACTGAAGTTAAATTATGAAAATTCTTTACACACAATAATAATTGCTAACTTATATAGAAATTGATGAAACAATAAATGAGAAGATTCTTTAAATAATCATTAACACAACAATAATATAAGCACACTGGGAAGCAGGCCTCAGGTGAAGCATAGCAGCACATGATGAATCTTTATTAACAATGAAAAATGAAAGTGGGTCCCATTGGCAAGACTGCCTGTTAGGGTCAGTATGGATACAACACACTGTATATTAAGCCTTTGGTACACAAGGAGGCAGCATGGCCAGTACTGCACTCAACCGCATTCATTTCTCCAGTTTGCAAACTTAGATACCCATTTACAGCTGGGTGTACTGGGAATATCTGGGAATCAAACTACTGCTGGAACAGGAGGTGAGAGTTATATCCACTCGACCACTGAACTCTTTGTTAACAATAGAGTAATCAAGCAATAACAGCAAAGTAACCTTAGTGGGTATGAAAAAAAGACCTCGCCAACCTAACCAAACAAACCCACCTAACCTGACCTAACTTCCTTACCAGTAAGGAAGTTAGGTAAGGTTAGGTTGGTGAAGTCTGTTCTTCATACCCACTAAGGTCAGGTTAGGTTTAATTTAGAAATTAGCACTATTTAACACATTTGCACAAATTACAAGTGTCCACTATAAAACAATGAAAATGCAGCATTTTTAAAATCGTTTTCTATGAAAAGTCGGCTGCAGGTCAGTCATCAATAATTACCGAATGTAAACAAAAAACATATAAAGTGGAGTGTTCCTATACAAACAAATTGTATAAATGAGGAGTACATGACCAAAAAAAAAAGTAACGCCATGTGATAAAGTAACAAGGAAGACCTATACTGTACTACTAACCGCTCTACTGGAGTCTCTGAAGTCAATCTTTAGTTGTCCCATGGCTCTGATGATGGCCATGAGTGACTGGATAGTATTGGAATATACAACAGGACGATATTGTTCACATTCTTCACGTGAATATCCTGTCTCATGAATAATCTTCATCTGTTTAACAATTGTGCTTTTCCCAGACTCGCCAGCACCTGTAAAAGAATATTTTTGTACAGTGAACCCTCACTTTACGCGGTTAATTCAACCCACAGGGTACCGCGGAAAGTGAGAAACGTGTAAAGTGAACAACATAACATATGGGATTAATTGAAATAGAGACCGGGCCGACCCCCAAACTCCACTTTTTCAGACACAATACCTACGTTGTAGTGAAAATAACTTCTTAATTTTAGGATGGTATGCACACACAATTAATAATTAAGAGAAATATCAATAATATTAGGTTTCTTAACACTTACATTAGTAGAAAAGATGGCTGGGCACACGGGGATGGGGGGTTGGTTCCGAGGCAGAGGGCAGATTATTGGCCCTCACCTGTATCACTTGTATCACTATCCACCACAGAGGCTTGCAGGGCCTCTTTGTCAAACCCCTCAAAGTCCATATAAGTCCTCACTATAATTATCACTATCACTGACTTGGGCCGGCTGTGGTGGGTGAAGAACTCGGTAATGTTTTGATGACTGGGCGACCTTGTGCGCACCCTGCTCGAGCCACTTACACAACATGGCGGATGGCGGGAGGTTTGGATCCAAAAATGGCGCGGCTCGCCAGCCGCTCTCCGCGTAAAGAGGTACACGCACCGCGGAATGTGAGCATTCCGGTTTCAGCAGGGTACCGCGTAAACGTGGAAACGCATAATGTGGGACCGCGTAAAGCGAGGGTTGACTGTATTATGATTTTTTTTTACTATTTTATAAATAGTTCATTATTTTATTCCCATCAAAATTCATAATTTCTATGTAGCAATACTAATTTTTTCAGCTAATAAACAATGTAAAGCCAAAACACAGCCAAGAGAAAACAGGCAGATATAAAAAGCGTGAGAGCACTCGTGCAAACCTACCTAAAAGAAGAAGCTTGACTTCTCTGGCAGCACGTTCCCCTGCAAGTCTCAGGTCTTTGTCTATCTTTTTGCTTCTTTCTGCTGCTTCTTTGTCAGCAGCATTACTCATCGCACACCCCATGGCTGCTGATGGGTGAGAGTGCCGCCCCCCTGGAACAGATATGAACACAATTTAGCTGGAAATAACACAAATAAAGCTGGGTCTAGATGCTTTGTATAACTTTAAAAACACTATACAGTATTAATGGTTGTTACATGCACAGTAATCCAAACATCTTTATGTCTAATAGAGACCAGCTGATTAAATATTTCTATACAGTACAGCACACAGAAAGGGAATTGTTAAGTTCTATAACTTAAAAAATACACACTTGTCACTATTACAATCTTCTAGATTTGCTTAAAGATGAAAATTTCTGAAGGGTGGTTCCAGAGACTGTGTAACATCTAAAAATCACCAAGAGCTCATTAAAAAGAAGGATCAGGGAGATTCTTAAATATTGACAGGGATTAATAGCAACAGCCTCTCTCAACCATCAAGCTAAATCACACATACAGTAGGATGCTAAATTATTAACAAACTCAAAACATCCATCTAAAAATTCTCGATAAAAAAACCTTTACGCCAATGAAGTAAAAACAGATTTTGTTTTCTCTAGCCTCATAAACTCCCAAAAATGTCTCATTGAGGACCCACTTTCAATATGAATCAAGCCCCATAAGAGACCCAATTAAGAAACTACAGTACGGTAGTTATACATGTAGAACTTGATTAAAAAAATATAATAATAAAAAAATATCAAATTTGTAAAAATTTACAGAACAGGACATCAAACTCCAAAACATTTCTTCACCTTTCCAGATTGAATCCTGAAATTTAAAAAAAATAACAACCAAGAGGAGTTGATAGAAAAACCTGCCCACATAAACGATACCCATTTCTGGTGTTTGATCAATTGACAAATGCTTATCTATCTAACCTAAAATAAAGTATACGTATATATACTACCTATACAGTACAGTACATCAATCATTGGGGAGGGACAGTAGGTTAGGTTGATTCATCTTCTCTCCAAGAAATCATAAAATGTAGCAATGGCTGGAGGTGTTTGTGTGTAAAGAAGGGTCACTTTACGCTTTCATGTGCATGAAAAGGTCATCAAGTAAAAAATGAAAATGGCATTGGTGGGTGATTGCAGTTGGACATAGATTAGTATTAAAAACAAAATGGTTCAAATGTATTATATACTGGAGATAGACCATTCACCATAAAACACCACGATATCTAAAACCCTACGGCAGGCCTACTCTCTTTAGTTTACTCCAGGAAAATATTTGCTTCATGTGTCCCTTTCCGACTGACCATTACAGGAGGAGGTAAAGTGACAAATATCTGTCGTAGCCACCAAGGCCAGGTTTCTTGGGCATAATAACACAATGATGCACTTATGTACGAAATACCTTGTGATGAACAACTGGCCATAAACTTTTTTTTTTTTACACTTGCAAGATTAAAAAGGAAGTGCTTGTTGTACTTGTTACTGGGTAACTGGACAATGCTGTTTCAGGTAATACCAAAAGTTTACTCACTAGTCACCTGGTTTTAATTTTCCTTATTTGACAGAAAAGAATCCATTAGTAAAAAACTGATGTACCAAGTAGTTTAGGAACACAGTGAGTTTAATCCGTTAGATTAAAAAGGCAAGTTTGTCTCATCATACCTGGCTCCAAGAACAAGATGCTTGCCTTTTAAACTACCGTAGTCCTTAAATGATCTATTGCTAGGTTCTTGTAATACTTTTGTTACTATAATTATATCCATCACGGAAGAAGGTTCTAGTTCTGTATATCAAGAACATCACCAATATAAAGTTCGCAAAACACTGGTCAGGAAACCTAATCTGTATAACCTACTACCAAATCACAAACATCAAACTGACTACATCCATGACCACTCCTTATGGCTGTACAGTTTAGTAGGGATAAGAAATTATGCTGTGTAAGTCAGTGTGAGTAAGAGTGAGAGTCGTGAGGGAGTGTAGACGTACACGGACGCGCCTATGGGAACCCAGGATTACATACAAGTAGGTCACATATCTAATTTCGCTCATTTCTTCGTCAATTATTCTCCAAATTTAACTTCATATAGATTAAGAGATAAGCCAAAGGAAGTCTCCTACGTAAACCAATTCATCCCCTAAAGTATGAGGAGGGTGCTGTTATAAATGAAAAGTGACAGCTCATACCGGTCGAGTAATTCCTTCCAGGGAACACGCCTTGGAAACTGTAAACAAAGTCCACTCTCGTGATTTTCCTCAACTAGCCTTAAATGCTGTTTGTAGCTGACTCACCAATATTGTAAGTAGTACGCGGTACTTTGTCAGTAAATCCAAAACGTCCGTTTCACAGGAAATCCCATAAAATACAAATTATAGTGTCACTTTCACATGTCCAACCTGTTGCTCTCCACTAAATCTACAAACTGACAATCGAGATGGGCTTTGAACTTGTGCAGGCAGCGCCGCACGAGTACAGCGGCTCAACACTCAACTAACACCCACGCGCTACACTTAAATTACATTACAGTACTGTATAAACTTCTCCCATCATATCTCCCATCATACTTCACCTAAATACATTAATGAAACATAACATAAGCTATCAGTTATTAACAGTAACGTTCACTTCTAAGAAGAAAATAACTAACAGAGACATTAGAAACGAACACATAATACCCTTCAACAATCGATATGATAATTACCGTGTTTTTTTTTACCAAGTAACAGTGAACTTGATTCTAGCTTAAATATATCGTTATTAAAGCAAATAATATGAATAAATTAGAAGTAGGAATGTTGTCAGGATTAATGTATACGAAAACTAACAGCATGGACAGCGTTAATCCAATATAAACTTGAGTTTGACCACACACACACACACACACACATATATATATATATATATATATATATATATATATATATATATATATATATATATATATATATATATATATATATATACATTATATGGTCAAACCCCTGCAGTCAGTACGTTACCTTTAACTTGACAGGAACACACCTTTGTACACCTCTACCTGTCCCTGAAATACACCAAATAAATGTGTTAAAATATTACAACTTGAAATATTTGTTCAATTAAATTTTCTATCAATCTCGATAGCCATTAGAGAAGATGTAAAATCCACGAATTTTGCGGGTGTCCGCATAATAAAATTAATTATTATTGTGAACGTTGGCACGCGTCTGTGTCACGATGGCTGGAACCTTACCAACGGACAACGGCTTATATGGTGTATTGGGTTTCATAAATGAAACGTTTAACTGCGGATGTATAAAACTAACAATAATACTTATTAGGATCTGCGGTAAAGAAAAAGAAAATATGAACAAACTGATTACAAACAATGTGATAAGACTATAATCTGATGGTGAATAGTTATTAAAATAATTATAAATTGAACTTAATGAAAATTTCCTTTCAAAGTACCACAGTGCACTGAAGAGGTTATGATATGATTTTATTATATTCATAAACAACGTCTTGGAAACAAAGGCGCAAACAAATAAAGATATAGGTAAACGAAGTGCTTTGTATAAGGAAGTTGATTTCCTTGTTAGCAATTAAGATCTCTCCCCTCAAGTCCTCACTCGCGTACATTATAATCAAAACAGCCAATGACTATTCGATGCGACAAATGATCGCACGAACTCTCCATTATTTTACTTCATCCTCTTCGCCGCTGGTCGGCTTGTTAAGTGCTTGGGCGGTCGGTCACGTCTCTGTTACGCACTGTTGGCAAGTACCAAAGGAGCCAGATCAAGATAAGAACAATGATTCCCGAAAAATCATGGAACTTATTCAACATTTCAATCGTTAGTTAAAATGTCATGTGTTGAGGTATAGGAAAAAGTGGTCACAAGTGTTGATCTATACATATAAAAAATGGTCCCACGTGTTAAAAATATGAAAAATGGCCCCACGTGTTGGAATATATGAACAAATTGATCGTAGTTATAATTCAACGCCAGATACGTTTTCCAGACTGTTATAAATCTGATTTATTCTGTAATTCTTATAAACGTATATTTTTTTTTTTCAACTGTACACGTATTTGCGTTAAGACATCCACGACGTGAATCTTTTCTGCACTCAACTACTTTTGCTTTCTGTATCACAACTCCCTATCACCAACTCTTCCTCCCAGTACCATCTTCACTGTCTCCTCTTAACTAAACCCATATTTGCCATATAAAGGGCCCTAATAATTATAAGGATCATTCTTCCTCCTCATGGGCTTGTGGCACTGAAAATAAACCTCAGTGTGGCCTCAACTCCCCTTGTTCGTGACCAAGCTTTTATGTATGTATGCTTATATACCGTGTGTGTGTGTGTGTGTGTGTTACTCCTGCAGTCCACGTTTCACCTGCTCTGGTTATCATCTTTGATCTTGACGTCTTTCGCGTTTAATCTGTGTCTCTGTGTCAGTCTAATATGCATCGAGTGTGTGTTACTGTTTGTTTTATTTCAAATGGGAACAATTTCACAGCGTTAAAGTTATCCTACAAACGCTTCCCATCCACCCACTCTGTACACTAATTTAAGCCGTCAAAGGAGACTTCGGCGGCCTCCAGCAGTGATCTTCACCTCTGGCCTCCCTTTGAGAACTCGACCTTATTCCCAGGTTTCAGGCCCATCTCAGTAAAACATGTGGTGGTTGAACATCAATCAAACCGTTTTGTGGTATAGCATTTTCTACAGTCTACAAGTTTTCTCGTCGATACTAAGACATAAAAGTTTAATACTACGACAACAGCATTACACAATTCTCTCAAATTTCTGTTAACCAGTATCTACGTCATAGGTATTCCCCGACGTGAAAAGAGGTGCGGCGAGCGTTTCTGCACCACCTCCTTACCTCCATCTTCGTTTGGCTGTGGAAGTGTTCCATGGTACTACACTTTGGTCATAACCTAAAGCGGTGAACATAATTCAAATGTATAATCGTAATGTATACCTTATATATGAGGCAGACTTTATAACATCACGTCAAAACTGAACAAAGTATAAGTAGACAGTTGTATTGATCTTTTATCTCCTTAACATCAAAAACTGTGTGTATGTGTGAAAACAATTATCCTAGGGTATATATATATGATTGCACTACATAATTATAGGACACCGTACTATGAAACTCAGGCTCCGTCATCTTGTAAATAAAGAGTGACACACACTTGTGTTGTGAAGTCACGTGAGGTTATCAGCAAGTAACGTATTGAGCAACCACTTCTTTTGTTTGTGGAATAAGTGTAAAAACTCCAATCTCATTTTGTCGTTTATAAGACAGATTGATGCTAAGATATTGTGTTTTGTGTATTTCTAACAATTTATATCATTACATCCTGGCGGCCTCTTTAATGTTACATTCAACAGAGTACGAGGATTGCTACACACAGCACCTGGGCAACTTGCTAGACTACACTGAGCTTGGCTGTAGGCTACGCCGATTAACATTATTTTTGCAGTCTTAGCCAGGTGAGTGAAGCATTAAAGCCTTCTATGTTTCATCACAGGGCGTGTAGGCGAGGCTGTCTACCATGTCTTCACTTTCACCACAGGATGTGTATGTCATATTGATATGGTCTTTATGAGACACTGTAATTGTGTGTCATACTGTAGGTCTGGTCTTTGTGTGTGTGTGCATCATGCCGTATGTGTTGTCTCGGTGTTAAATTAATAGCGTGGTCTTTGTGTCATAGTTATTGTGTTCTGTGTGTGTGTGTGTGTGTGTGTGTGTGTGTGTGTGTGTGTGTGTGTGTGTGTGTGCGTGGTAATGTTGGAGTAGATTTTGAGTCATACTGATACTGTGGTCTGTGTTTTCCTCATCCGGCTGACCTACGTGTATAGGGGTAAGCAGTATGGCCATGTTATGACCTATCACACCGGTTGATCGCGCTCCTCTTGTTGTCTGACTCAACTCCTGTGACACGACAAACGCCTCACTCACCGCCCGGATTCTTAGATGCTCGTAAGCTTTTATTTCTCTGAACTGAGGTAAACAAACGCTTGTAGTGACGATAGAGTCTCGGCGTAATTTCTAGTTTGGGAAGAGTCTCAGAGTAACTTCGCCGTTAAATAGCAGTTTCAGTAAGCCAATTAGAAAAAGTTCTCACACCTCCACATTTAGAAGAACAAACAAATTTCAGATGCGTACCTTTAAGAGTATGAGTCTGGACTAGCCACTGACATCTGAGTAAAGAAAAATGCCTTCAGATCTTGGACACCTCTCCCATAAGAAATCTCAAAGAAGCAAAGCCAAGCACTGGTTCAACACAGGCTATGAGTGAGTGAGTCAGGAGCGGTGTAGATACTTGTGAAGAATTAGACGGCCAGGTACACAATCAATAAACCTGTACACTCACATAAGCAGTAAACGACCCCGACATAAGTAAAAGTCAATACACCAAAGTGATCTTGAATCCTAACTGGATGAAGACAGGTTACACAGAAGTCAACCATCACACATGTGCCCAGCCTCTCACGTTTCAGCCCCCCCCCCCCCATCCACGCGCTTGGTGAGGGTGACACCATCTACCTGTACCATCCCACTTTGTTGATGAATTAATTTTAATATGTTTAATTAGATTTTTCCTGAATGTGGTATGACCTGAGATGCTTTTGAATATCAGTGAATTTCAACTATTTATGAGTTGTTGCTCTTTTAACATGTGGGAATTGATGCTTTTGGTTTGTTTATGACGAGTGTCATTTCCTACGATGAGCAGGATGACTTGTGTAACTTCCCACACTGCTCTGTTCATTGGCAGTTTGAGCAAAATAGTGTTTTCCAGCATATTACCACTGGCTAAATGTCAACCACGCCGAACATCAAAGAATAATAACTCTGACGTCAAGAATTAATATAACGACTTCCGGGAAGAGCAGTACGGACGCCAGCGGATGTGCGTCAGATTTGCATCAGTGGTAACTGGTGGGTAAGGTCACGGGTCGAGGAGAAGCACACCCTGCCTGTCTGTTTGTTGACACTGCCACACCAAGGGTCAAGGTGACGTGGCTGAAAGGCGAGAAACAGTAATAATGTTGACAGGCTCAGCACCTACATCACACATCGACTGGTTCATCACCTCTTATAAAAAAAAACTATTAAACCCACCATTAACCAGATACTTATTTGTTCATAACTTCACCATTTTCAGTTAAGACCACCATAGATAACACACTCTTTACCCGACAGACCAAACCTTCCGTACCCCAGACCACCACAAGACCACATTAAATTCAGACTAAACCCGCACTATAACAACACCTCGTAACTGAATGCACCTAACTCACCGGCTCTAACTGATGTACACAAATTAACGTCCAAAAATATCATCAAACTAATGGGGTGAATGCAGGACGCGAGAGGCGGAAATCACCAGTGAGGAATATCTCGTATATCACCACCACTCACACCCTACCAAACCTCACACCCTTACCGTGTACAACCATCGTCTTTACTTTGGCGGAGAGATAAAGAGAAGGAAGAGTCAGCGTCAAAAACAAGAGAGAATACAGTATTATAAGGAGGGAACTTTCGCTACCGTCTGTTGGGAAGGTCTACGGCACCATAAAGACAACACTATACCTATTACGTCACGAAGAAGACAAAACTCCCCAGCCGCAATATGGTGACTATGTATTAAAGCTAACATGACCAGTGGTTTGATTGCAACAAAATCTGTCCTCAACCCACCAAAGAACCTCTCTGCCTCACCACATCTTGCAGGGTCGACTACCTGGATCTGACAGTGTGAGCCCATGTAACCTTAGACCAACTCACTAATTTGCATGAATGTAAGTTATGTATTGGTTTAAGTATACCTTACAATGATGCTGTGGCCCCTGAATTAGCAAATTACTGTACCTTAACTACAGAGGTCAACCAGTTAGGTGTACTCTTACATCTTCAGTTACGAGGATTATTCATAATATGAACATTTGTGAATCCGGTCCCAGATGCATATTAGCGCCTATAAGAAAATCCGGATTCAGATTTCTGGGGTTTGCATAAGCTGGAGA